TCTGGTATGACTTCTTCAATGACAAGACAATCCAATAGTGTCTTCATACACAAGTAACCCTAACCCCCCTTTATGTTCAACTAAACCAAGGACCCAAAAGTAAGTTTACAAAGCTGAACCCATTTCAAGCTGAAGACTAGTGTTATAAAAAATGCCCAGAAACGAAATGACTTTGGGCTTTGGGTTGTGATAAATGGTTCGACCATCTGAATAAAAAATGGGACAACCGGTGGCATCATAAGTATGTAATAAATATATAAATATAAATAATAGATAAAATATATAAAAATAAATAAAATTACAGAAAAAAATGCAAAAAAAAGTTAGCTAGACATGTTTTTAATATTATATATTCATCTTATTGTACAAAATTAAGTGTGTGAATGTAGTTATTAATAATGAAAATGATTAGAAATATTTATAAGTTAAATGTTTAACCCATGAGGCCATGACCTGCCGATTGGGTTGAACGAGACAATGGTTCAACGGCCAGGTCATTGGGTTGTTGGTCAATGCATTTTTGTAGGGCTTATGGGTCAATTCTATCCGATGAATCCGAATTATCCGAACCGACTCTAATGGTTTTGGTTCCATGATTTTGTCCTGATTAATAATTGGGCCAGTTCTAATTTTTGTCTGTCCCGAATTGATTCAGATCCGAAACTGATTATTTTATTATATATACAATGTTTTTATTAGCTAGAACGATCATGCTTGCATACTCATATAATTTTGATTGTATTTTATGTTTGAAATGATAAAGTTGATAGATAATAAATAAGATAATATTAATTAAAATGTTTAGTTTATTAACATAATAATATAATTTAGTGTTTTCTATCATTTTTATTAAGCTTGTATTATCAAAATTTAAATTTTAAGTTATTATTTATATAAACAAATATAGTTTTCAGTATAATTGGGTCTAGACATGACAAATAACTAGAATAATTTTGGATCCGTAATTTTATCCCAATTAATAATTAGTTCGGGACTGGTTTTCCCTGAACTTGACCCGTTAACAACCCTAGATTTTTGCCGACAATGAATGGCTCAATGGGTAAAATGGACCAAAAGACTGGACCAGATGATTGGACCATGGTTCTGGCTACCTTAATTTCTAGGTCCTAGTTAAATGGTGGTTTTATGGACTAATTAACCGTCTGATTAACAAATAAAACCGTGACCCATTGGTTTTTAATCTGGTCCGAGTCTTACAACGACCTCATTATACCCAAGACCAGATCAATAATCTTTGCATTAAGAAATGATCTAACAGAAAAACAAACTAGACGACTTAGTGCTTGAACCTTGGTTCATGAGATGGTGACGGCTGCGTGGTGTAAAAACAAAGCAGGTCAAGAGTGATTTATCACATGAAGGGGAGACGGGACAAGAACAAGAAGACAACATTTGACTTAAGTTACAATTACAAACACTTTTGAGTTCAAATACAAAGCCTATTCATATTTTCATGCATTGACCAATATCACAATTTTCTGTTAAGAAAACGCCACAACATTCCTATTCTTAGAGAGAAATGGTTGTCAAAGCAATAAATTATAAAACCAATTAATAATGGACAGATACAACACTAAGAACTCATTTTGTTGGAGCAGCTTCTTGGAAGAAAGCAACCACGTTAGGTTGGAGTTTGGGACTGTAGGACTAAATGAGTAAATGGGTGTCATGGAAAGCTTCTCCATTAATGCCAAAAGTCAGCTTGGTTAGATGAAATTGATCATGTCTAATCTACTTCCCAAAGTTCCTATAACTTTACGCATTGAATTTGGGTTGGGATTTTGGACCTTTAGGACTAAATGGGTCTCCTGTAAAGCTTCTCCATTAATGCGAAAAGCAGCTTGGTAGATCTCAGTCATAGACTTATAGAAATTACTTTCATATTTTTTAAAGTACAAAAGTATGATACAACATTTCTACTGAATATTTTATACTTCTACTTTCATACTTTTTATATTTTGTGCTTTTGGTAAAATAGTGTTTCCATTTTAATTAGTGTGACAGGGTAGTCATGCCAATAAAACTCTCGACCTTATCTTTGCTTGATGCTGATATAGTCGGACCGTCGCACCGGTTTCAGACTGTCAAACCACTGGAAACCATCACCGGAAGTATGAACAGGCGTGCTTTTGCCAAACAAAAGATAGGACTTTTGTTTTGGAAAGCATATTTTTTTAATTTTTTTATCAAATGGTTTTTAAAACAAAATTACAAAGCAAAAGTATTTTATATATTTTGTACTTTGACATTTTAAAAAATATAAAAGTAGCTAGAAGTCTATCCAAAGTTCTGTAACTTAATTTATATTGAATTTGTATATTGGGTTGGGGTTTTGGGACTTTAAGACTAAATTGCATCTCATGTAAAACTTCTCCATTAATGACACCAAAAGTCATCAGCTTGGTTAGATGAAATTGACGTCTAATTTACTTTCCAAAGTTCTGTAACTTTACATTGAATTTGTGTATATTGGGTTGAGGTTTAGGACTTTACGACTAAAATGGGTCTCATGTAAAACTTCTCCATTGATACCAAAAGTCAGCTTGATTAGATGAATTTGACGTCTAATTTATTTTCCAAAGTTCTGATAACTTTACATTGATCAATTTTGTATATTGGGTTGGGGTTTGGGAATTTAGGACTAAAATGGGTCTCACGTAAGTCAGTTTGGTAGATCAAATTGATGTCTATTTCACTTTTCCAAGTTTTACAACTTTAAATTGAATTTGTTATAGAGAGAGAGATGATCACCCAAATTTGTGGGATTAGATGGCCTACATGTTATTACTCTAATAAGGTTTTGCCCCATCTTTATCTTTCAGTCAAGCAATGCCAAATAAATAATATTAAAGGTGTTAACTTTGAAAATATTGACTGCTTGAGGTTGTTAGAAAGTCAGACATTGATCACTAACGCCAACAATAATCTTTTACGGTTGCCTTGGGTTTGATTACAGTAAGATTTTTTATTCTATTTCTATGGGAGTGAAGATTCCATATTTCAATGCTGAATATTTCATTCACAACAAACCCTAAACTAGCTTTTATGTTTTGTATGCAGATGATTCTTTGCAAATAAAAAATAGCATTTATCCATCATTTTGGGCAATAATAAAATATGATATTCTTTTAATAATATCAAACCTTTTTCATCAATTAAATAATTCAAATTGTTATTATTCCCCATAAACATAGAGAATGTATCTACCATTCTAATAACATTTACAAAGCTCAAAACAATGTTTCTTTATATGAGTTCATCAGTATTTGACAGTTATTAGGGTTTTGCTGGCTATTGTGGATCACTAACCAAACTTAGCAATTAATGTGAAAAATGACCTTTTCCAGTAGTGTTCCTCTCAGGGATGAAATTAAATACTTTGAGGTTGTATTTGGTTGCAATGCAAATAAATTTGTGCTGATGCAAAAGTATGATAGTGCAAATGATTTGATTGTAAATTCTGACCTATTTTTCTTTCAAATTTTAGTTTATTTTATTTGATTGCAATACAAATGAAATAAATTAAGACATGAAGCAGAGTAAAGTAAAATCCAAAATAAAATTAAACCAGAATTTGCATTTTTTTATTAGCACTTCAATGCATTTGTACTAGTACAAATAAAATTGCACTGCAAGAAATGCAACCTTATGGTGTAAAAACACTTATATGGAAGTTGAAATCTAGTAGCTCATTTAAGCTATTAAAGTTGAAGCTTATTATAAAATAAAAGAGAAGGAGAAAAAAAAGTAAATGTTAACTTTATGTTGCATTTGGTTTGAAGGAAAAAGTAAAGAAAGGAAGAGAAAAATGGGAAAACCTTCACAAACCTTATATAGATTTCTTTACCTTTTTCTTCCTTCCCCTACCTTTTTCTTCAAACCAAACATAGCCTTAGAGCTGTCCTGACATGAACCCTTATTTAATGAGATCGACTTCAATCAGAACAAGGCCCGTTCAAATAATGTTCGAACAGCCTTTACAATCTTTCATTAGGAATATCTTTGTACTTTTGTACTTTATTTCATTTCATGGGGAGATATTCCCAATACAAGGCAGTGATGGCTGTTAGAGTGGATTTTGCTCTACTGAATCCGGTATCTTATTTAGCTAACCCTAATTTACAAAGAGAGAGAGGGAGGGAGAGGACCATATGGAAATTACAACTGTTTTAAAAGTGAATCCATGGGCTGACCCGACCCACACGTCGCTTCACTGCAGTAGTACAAAACTGGATAAGAATGAACGCATATATAGACAGATGGGGTCATCAACAGATCAATCAACAAACCCTAGAGAGGTTCACTCATTGAACTTTCTTCTATCCATAGAAAGAGGCTAAAGTAAAAAAATTTTAGGTAAGGATCGATTCTACGAGAGCGCTCTCACCGAGTAACCCATCAAATCCCTGTTTTGTTCATCATCCATTGGTTCAAAGTTCAGAAACAAAAGCTAAAAGCTCAAAGTAAAAAACTAAAAAGTTCTGTCTTTCTCCATCAAATGGGTGGGGGCGATACGAGTGTAGGTGCTATCTACAGAGTACAGAGAGCAGCGCTCATTGGATCACCAGCCATGGGAAAAAAGGGAGGTAGTAGTACACTACGATGACGCCAAATCTAGCGACCCAACCCACACGTTTCCCCTTTCTTCTCTCCCTCAGAAAATTTCAGAAATTACATACTGAGCAGAGGCCGGTCTCGTCCAGAGGAAGCATCCCCTGCTCTGCCACGCGGTCTCTCTCTCCTCTTTCTCTCTCTAAGCACACACCCCCATATGGATTCTCTCCTCTCACCCTCTTACATGTAACTTCCAGACACATGCACACGCACACTCTCTCTCTAGATTTTTTCTCACTGGAGCGCCACGTCACGATCGGGTTACCATCTAACAACCGCCCGCCGGCCCCATCAGCTGAGCTGTAAACCACTGTAGCTCAGCCCACCTCTCTCGCAGTAGAAGAAAATGCGTATAAATTGGAAGGGAAAAAGAAACTTACGAGAAGAAAAATAGGAAATAAAAACTCTCTCTGCATCTCAAACTCAATCTATCTCTGTATCTGTGTTTTGATGACAAAAAAAATGCCCGCTTGGTGGGGAAGAAAGTCTCACAAAAGCAGCAAAGCAGAGCAGAATGAGCAAGTGAACCCGCACAATATTAGCAAAGGTTCAGAAGTCAAGGATGATAAGAAGAAGGGGAAGGAGAAGCCCAAAAGCTTCGATGAGGTCTCGGCCATCTTTATAGCTCGTAAATCTGCAAGGACTAGTAAGGAATTCGTAATTTCAGGTGGTGGGTCTTCGTTTGGTTCAGACTCCGATGGGCATGTTGGTGTTGGCGGCGGCGGTGGTTGTGGTGGTGGTGGAGTAGCGGAGAAGAGGGGTCATCCTTTGCCTCGGCCTTCAGTGTCGTCGTCGCCGAGTTTGGAGATTGATCATGGTGTTGGGTCTGTCTCTGGGTCGGTTTCGAGTATCAGCTCATCTGGGTCTGATGATTCGACTCCTGATCTTGGGTTATTTGGTGGCTACAGGTGGGTGCCTCGCCTCTGTTCCTTCCTCTGCTGTCTGAATTGGAATTTGTGGTTTGTGGGGGTTGTTTATCCTGAAGGAATTTCAAAGATTGGTTTTTGTTCTGGATGATTCAAGTGGGCTTCGTTTCTGTATCAAGAAGCGATGCTTGTGTGATTCGAATTCTAGCTGATTAATTGATTGACGGGTAATTTCTGATGGAGATGATAATAAACTGTTCTGATAATTAATCGTTATGAGGAAATAGTGTAGGGTTTTGTTTCCTATTCATTTTTCCTAAAAAAATTAGTATGTTTTGATTTGTCTTCTGTGAAATTATTGTTGATCAGTATCTATTTTTCCTCCCTTTTTTATTGGAAGATGTGAAATTGAGTTTGATTTTGATTTTCTTATCTGAATTTCACTTGTGTATGTTAATTATTACCAGTCTTACTTCTGTTTTTCTTTCTGATTGTTTAGTTTCCTAATTATGCTGGGAGCATAGATCTATCTGCAGCAATTATTTAAGTATTTTATCTAGCTCCCCCCTTTTCCCCCTGGGTCTCTCTCTTCCTCCTTTTTTTTCTCCCTTCTGACGTTTTGGGGATCGGCAAGCGGACTTGGTCCTCATGTGTCAGAGGTTAACCGGTCAAGAGGGGTTTATAATTTAACATTCACAGGTTTTGGTGGAGGAAGTTTTCAGAGAGTCAAGAATATTATTTCCCCCTTTTTTGTTGAGCAACAAGCCAACAACAGCTTGTGTTTGCTAAAGAGAAGAACATAAAAAATAAATACATTCAGTTCACTAGATTTCTGTTTTGTTTAATTTTGGTCATATATTGGGCTGTTGCAAGGAATTATACAATCCAAGGTTTTAAAGCTGGAATGCTATCACAGTTTCAGATCTCATTGTTAGTTTCTTTCTGCCTCTCTGTTAATAAACTAAGCACATGGACCTATTCAATTCTTTTGAATTTGTTAAGTTGTATTACTTTCACCTGGAAAATTTTGATTATGCTTCTCCAATACTCCTAACAAAAACATTTTCTATGGATATTCCAGAGCATATGGTGAAACCAAGTTCAACCAAACTTCAAGAAGCCCAGGTCCAGGATCAAGAGCAGCCACTCCATCCACCCCCTCATCACCTTTGCATCCACGAATGTTTGGAATGAGTCTGGAGTCTCAAACAGGGAAACAAGAAGATGGGAGGAGTATATGTCATCCACTGCCACTTCCTCCAGGTTCTCCCACTAACCCTTGTGCCTCACCTAGTAGAAGAAGTAGTGGGACCTTCGATAGCTCACTTAGTCTTAGATCGAAATGGAAGAAGGGAAAGCTTCTAGGAAGGGGCACATTTGGTCATGTTTATCTTGGATTTAACAGGTAGCAGTAGTTCCTCTTATCAAGCCTACATTCTCTAAATTTCTGAATTATTTTTTATTTCTGAATTGGTTACATCTTTTTTTTTCTTTGGTAAAGAAAACCAATAGGTATTAGGAATTGGAAACGAAAAAGAACCTTGCATTAGATCATGAAGAGAAAATGACCTTTTACTCTTTTTCCATGTTTAATGTGCCATGACAGTGAGAGTGGACACATGTGTGCTATAAAGGAAGTCAGAGTCGTCTCTGATGATCAGACATCAAGAGAGTGTCTCAAACAACTGAATCAGGTTTCTCTCTCTCTCTCTCTCAGACATCTACTGGGCACCATATTACTTTCTATAATCCTATTTTATTATTTAGGGTGGTTATTTGAGTGCATCTGTTTTTGGTAAGCGGATAATACCTCTACTTAAGGGTTAGAATGTACCCTAATGTCCTTTTTTGTTATATAGAGGTATCTATCTTTAGTCTTTTAACAGAAATGTGTCTGTTCTATCAGAAATTAAGTGTGCTTAATTGACTACTTTTATTATACAGGATTTAACCCAATTTGTTTGTATGAAACAGGAGATATCATTGCTTAGTCAGCTTTCACATCCAAACATTGTTCAGTATTATGGAAGCGAACTGGTATGAATTACAATTGTTTACCTAACTCTTGTTTGAAAACATTTTCATGCTCACAAGATTCGTATTACTATTGCCCTTGTAAAGTACTACCAGAATAGAAAATAGAAAATTCATTCATTAGTGTAAAAAAATGCTGTGGACTGCAGCATTTGCTTAAGCCTCATAAGTTCTTTCTTTATTTATTTATTGTAGTATTTCAGCAAATATAAACTATTTTTCTATGGTATTGAGCCGGGTAGGAGATTAGGAGGTTAAACTGAACTAATCGTGGTCAGAGTTGAAAGTTTAATATTCTTATATTTCTTGGAGCCGTAAGATGTTTTCATGATGCAAAACCTCTTATTGAATGAGCGATATGTTCATACAAGTTTTCTATCTCATTCATGTTCATGTCTCATGAGCATTCATACTTCAGACTTGCACATCAAGGTGCTTTATCTATGTCTTGAATGTCTGTAAAAACACTGGTCTTATTTCGATGGCAATCTTAGGTTTCCGGTTTCATACTGTCTTTGTTACTGTACATTAGGTACCTATGTAGACATTTAATAATTCTGATATGACAAGGTAAACAGCAGGAAAAGAAGAATGACTTACAGATAGCTAAGACAAATTGATTGGCCATATGCCTTAAAACTTGGATATGCATAGAATGCATCCAAATTCTAAGCTCTTAAATGCCTCAACTCAGAATTCGGCTGACATTTTAATGTAAACAAAGCTCACTCCATATATCAATGAAATAATCCTGAAAACTTCATGACTGCAGGGGGAAGAGAGACTCTCAGTTTATTTGGAGTATGTCTCTGGGGGCTCCATCCACAAATTGCTTCAGGAATATGGTTCTTTCAGGGAACCTGTTATTCAAAACTACACCAGACAGATTCTTTCAGGGCTTGTGTACCTACATGGAAGGAATCATATACACAGGTACTCGGTTGTTATTAGTAGTTCCTGTTGCAGAAATTCTCCTGTGTCGGTAATTCTTCAGCTTTCCACAATTAGAAACTTGAAGAAAATGCTTTACCTGGCAGGGATATTAAAGGGGCCAACATACTTGTAGATCCTAATGGTGAAATTAAGCTTGCAGACTTCGGCATGGCCAAACATGTAAATCTCTTGTTCTTGGAAACAAGCTTATCTCCAGAACAGTAGAATTGTATTCGTGTATAAATTAGAGATGTAGTATAGAAAAGTTAAAATGGACTTGTTATTGAATGGATTATGATACACAATGATGTTCTTGCTAGAAGTCTTTGAAAAATAAAAAATTTCATTCGTTGAAAGTCCTAAAAGGGAGGGTAGTAATCAGTTTTCATGCTTATCCATTACTCATGTAATGGTCATTTTATCCCTCTTTTAAGCAGATCACATCATACTCTACAGTGCTCTCCTTTAAAGGAAGTCCTTACTGGATGGCACCCGAGGTATTTATATTTGGAATTTCATTTTTTATCGTTTTCTTCTTTTTTCATTATGCTCAGCACTCTTAAGTCTTAACCTCTATTGTCAATGTATTCTATCCAGGTTATAATGAATTGTACTAAAGGGTACAGTCTCGCTGTAGATATTTGGAGCCTTGGATGTACAATTCTTGAAATGGCAACATCAAAACCACCTTGGAGCCAATATGAAGGGGTACTGTAGAATTTCCTTAACCTATTTGACAACGTTAATTTTTTTGTTAGACTTCACTCTAACATCACATTCTTTTATTGAAACTGACAGGTTGCTGCAATGTTTAAAATTGGAAATAGCAAAGATATTCCTGAAATTCCAAATCATCTTTCTAGTGATGCAAAGAGCTTTTTGAATCTCTGCCTGCAGAGAGACCCGGCTGCACGTCCTACAGCTGCACAGTTGTTGGATCATCCCTTTGTTCGAGACACAGCTGCAGCAAGAGCTAATATAAACATCAATACAACTCATGATGCCTTGCCTTCTTCTTTTGAAGGCAGTCATACAAGGGTAACATCTTGAAGATTCTCAAAATCTATGTTAAAATATTGAAAGTTTTGAGTTTCAGATCGTTCACCTTGAATTAATGAGTACTAGTTGAAGAGACTAAAGATTTTGATAGGTTGATTCAATCATAAGCCTTGAACATGTTTATTAATGGGAAGTTACTACCAATCACATGATGCACATACTCATCAGTCTGGAGAATCAGCTTAATTCACCATCTTATGTAATGTGTTGATCCAAAGTTTAATTGTTCTGATTCATATATCATGACTAATGACTGTGCAAATGTAAGTTCATTATCTGGTGATATTTTCTTGAAAGAATTCTTGTATCATGCACAACTGGAGGAGTTTGATCCTTCAGGTGGTCTTGATTGATGAGCATATGCAACATATCTAGGGTAGAGATATTTGCTGGTTAAAAATTTTTTCCCCAATAACATCATGTATGTTGCATTATATCTTCATGCAATGATTCAGTTTAATGTAATGTTGTAGAAGATCAAGTCTTGAGCATATCTCTGTTAAATGGATATACTGCAACTACTTCAACTTGATTATCTCTACATTTATTTGTTTTAGAACCATAGGGTCTTTAACAGCTGCACAAGGAAATACTCAGAAAGGAAGCTTAAATATTATATAAGAATGGTTGTTATAGAATCATTCTTTAGTTCATGTTTATGCACTTTTTTTTTTGGGTAAATATTTATACTGAAGTGCCACCGTAATATATACAAGCAATTGATAATTGGGTGTTAATTTTGCAACTGTAAATTTAAATCATTCTCACTCTCTAGCCTGTCATCTTTTCTCTCTATTCTCTTTTCCTGTTCACATTCCTCCCACTAGACTAGAGGGAGGGAGGGAGGGAAAGTAAATTCTTTACATGTATGCAAGAAAACTGTCAGAGATGAAACCTATACATGATATGAGATATATTGGTAGTGAAGGAGTGAGGGAGAAAATGAAACTCTTTGGGCTTGTGAAGCAATGTGGTTGGGCCAAATTTGCATCTCCCACTCAACCATTTTCAAATTTTTTTTTAAATCCGAATAGAATTATGACATAATTTGCTCTGGACTATGTTCTGTTATTCCTTCAAATTCTTCCGTTAACATTTTCTTTTCAGAATACTTATGTTTTGAACTACAAGTACTACCAGATTTTGACTTGAATTTTTTGCTTTTAAAGCAGACAGTCTCCGAATTGCCCTTTAACAGGACAAATGTGACTTCACTGCATGGAGATTATGGGATGAAACAAGTTGTTACATCTTCAAGAGCTTTCAAAAGTTCTAGGTAAATATACCCAGCCAGCGAGCCTCCAGTTTAATTATTGCTGAATCATCCCCCTTTCATGATGTCTAGCTGTTTCACCAAGGTTTCATTGAATAATAACTTTGATAGTCATAATTTATCTGCAGAGATAGTGTGAGACTCAATGTGTCATTGCCAGTGTCTCCATGTTCAAGTCCATTACGAAATCATGGCACAGCAAATAGGAGCTATTTTCTGTCCCCTCCTCATCCGTCTTACCCATTTGGAGCGCAGAGTGGTTATGGTCCAACTGATTATTCAGCTTTATCAACAAGACCAAATACAAATTTCCCTACTGATGCCTGGTGGGACAACCCCCAGCCAAGAACCACAACACCAGGTGGGTCCCCAAGAAGACTTTATCGAGGACATCATGTTTGTGAAGAACAAAACAACAGCTTTTCTGGTCATAATTAATACCTCCTGGATCAAAAATGAAATATGTCCGAAAGGATGTGATACTCTTTATCTCTCTCTCTCTCTGTCTATGAGAGTGATGGATTTATTGCCCGGGGATGAGGCTGGATGAGGATCTCTTCTTTTGCTTCCTCATGTAAACAGATGAAACTCTGAAGCCATTGAGCTTGATGCCATGGCTGAACATGAAAAAGAGAGTTGGGGAACCTCTGGCTGCTGAATTTTTGATACCTTACCTCGTCATGATCATGATCATTGTAACTTCAAGGAGGTTGTAACAAAATCTAATGTGTATATAAGAAATGCCTTCTATCTTCATATCAGTTCTGGTCTCTGGGCTTTTTTGGTGGATTTATAGTTTTAGTCAGTTATGGTTGGTGCCTTGGTAGGCCTTTTTTTTTATTTCTTCCCTTCTTTTGGGGTCTTCATGATTTTGTATTCAATTTTCAAAAATTATGTTACTCCTTTATCTGTAGAGGTATTGTTTAGTTTAACCCTTAATTCATTACAGCCATCTGACATATTTGACTAGAGGAAGTATCGATGACATTTTTAGTTTCATTTAGAAAAATTGACTCTGTTTTCTAAAACCAGTAATTCAATAAGGCTGTGTTTGGTTTTAAGAAAAGGTAGGGAAAGTTAGGGAAACCTATACAAGGTTTCTACGGGTTTCCCTACTTTTTCCTTCCTTTCCCTATCTTTTATTTCAAACCAAACAGTCTAAGAAGATATATTGAAAAAATAAATCATATTTTCACTTCCGTATGGTTTACATAGGCTATTACTGATCAGTGTTAGCACACATCAAAATCTTTATCTACACCCTGGCTTAAAGTGTTAGCACACATCAAAATATTTAAAGTGAATATTGTACGTGTTTGGTTTGATGGGCGTTTATGGATAGATCATTTATTTTTATTTTTTTAAATGTTTATGTATACTTTTTCACTTTAAATACTTTTTATTTTAAATGTTTTCTGTTTTTGTTGTTTGGTTGGATTTCATTTTAAACGTTTTTTACTCTCCACCTGAGATTAATAACTATTAAAGTGTGTTGTATTAGGTTTTAAGAAATTCTGAGCATTGAGGGAAACAAGAAGTTGACATTTTCCCAAATGTCTTATGTATAAAAATTATAATGTTTCAGTTTTGAATCATTTATTTGATAAATGGTGAAACCAAACATTTGTATGTTTTATTAAACATAGTATTAATTCATTGAAGGAAAACATGTTTTTCAAACCAGAAATTTAATAACATATTGTGGATTTTAGTTTGGAAATTATTATCAAGAATACGTTTCTTATATTTTATTTCTAAGAATCAATACATTTTTTTAAGTCAGGTATAGCATGGTTTAAAATATCGATACGCCGGCATAGGTGTATCAAGTCAATCGATACTGTTATTTTTTAGTTTTTTTTTCTGAAACTGGTTCAGGGGGATCGGTTTAGGTTTTCTCCACCCCCTGAACCGGTCAGACCCCCGATACACCCACTATAGGGGCGTATCGGAGGGGTTTCAGAACGATACGTATGGGCCGATACGGGCCAATACGAGCTGATACTTTTATCCTTTGGTATAGGGACCAAGATTTTAAAACTTAACATAATGCAATAACATCGCTTGAAGAACACCCCTTAATTTCATAAAAACATAATATGACAGCAGTCCGTTGAGTTCTATTAAACAAAAGACAATGGTAATTACAACCGTTAAACTTTGCGAAAAAACACTTTAGACCCTAAAAATTAAAATTAAAAGGGCTATTTTTTCCCTTGAACCATGATGGAAAGGCCATCTTAAGCCAAAAATAGACGATGCCAGAGACATCATTGATGGATCTGTTAGACAATGAACAAAATAATAAAAGTATGTTTATCAGGTAAAAAAATCTATTAGTTAAAAAATAATCTTTCTTAACCTTGAAATAAATTATTTTTAAGGATTTTATCAAATTAGTATCATTAAATTAAGAATAATTAATTTAACAGTAAATAATTAACAACAATTAAGTGTAAACTATTACTTAAATGCTAACTTAATTAGCTTAACCAATAGTAAATTAACAATCACGTAACTTAATTAACTTAGTTAACTTATTTACCTTAGTGAGCTTTGATTATTTAATTTACTACATTATCTTAATTAATGTAATTTATTTAATTTGATTACTCTATTTACTTGGCTTGATTTACTTAATCAGTTAGTTAATTCACTTATTGCATGATTTTAAAATCGATGTTGATTTGAATGGTCAAATTAATTGTTTGACCTAGGAGCAGGTCAACTGTCTGGTTCCATTTTATACTTAGCTCAAAAATTTCCAAAAAATGTTGATTTGGTCAGCAAACTGTTGACCCAAATGGTTGAACCACTAAATTGTTCTACAATGAATATTTTGGGGTCATTTTTAATTTTTCACTTTTCAAAATGTCACGAACTGATCAATTTGGGCTGGATAATAGAACCATTGGCCCAAAAGCTGGTGGCCAAAGCGGTTCTATTTTCAAGTCAGTTTTTAAAACTTTGCTTAATTGGTCCAATTTACTTATTTATATAGATTAGACTTGTTTATTTAATTTACTTAATTAAATTAGTTTGCTTAATTAGTTTATTTATTTAATTTACTTATTCAATTGCTTAATTTACTTAATTAACTTTATTAAAGTGGTCTTTTCAAACTTTAGGGTCTAAAGTGGCCTTTTCAAACTTGAGCAGTGTCACGTAAGCATGTTTTTATTATTTTATATATTGTCTAATAGATCTATAAATGGTGTCTCTAACATTGTCTATTTTTGCCTACAATGACTTTTCCATCACAGTTCGAGGGTGAAAATGGTCATTTTTCTTTAGGTTGTATTTGATTGCAATGCAAATGAATTTGCACTGATGCAAAACCATGGCAGTGCAAATGATTTGAGTGTAAATTCTGACCTATTTTTGTTTCAAATTTTAGCTTATTTTGTTTGATTGCAGTACAGATGAAGTAAATTAAGACATGGAGCAGAATAGAGTAAAATCCAAAACAAAATAAAATGAGAATTTTTATTTTTTACATTTTCACTCCCATGCATTTGTACTAGTGCAAATAAAGTTGCACTGCAATCAAACACAGCCTTAGGGTCTAAAGTGGATTTTTTACAAATTTCAAGGGTTGTGAGGGACAAAAACCATTATTTTAAATATAATTTTTGTTGAATGAGAAAAATAAGTCCATACAATGGGGGTAGCACTTTCCCAAAAAATAAGTTTGATTGGAACTTATTTCGGGAAACTAGAAATGAAACTTTTTTCCTTTTTTCGTCTCGTTTTCATACAAAAAGACGCACCTCCAACCAAACAGTTCATTACATCTTTTAGCTGTCAGATCTTCCAGAAGATCTTTCAAAAAAGACTTGCCAAATGGCACCAAAGTTGGGAACTATAGACCAAATTTTCACTCTAGTGCAATGAGCAACTTTATGAATGACTATATTGGCCCTCCTAGCTTCTTGGCACATGGAAAATCGAAAATTTCAAGAAGCGGCGCAACAGATGCTATAGACCACGGTGAAACCACTGAATCCACCAAAGCGTCGCTCTCAACATGAATGTGGGTAATACCCACCTCCAAGGCAAAAGAAGAGATTGAGGAACCATCTTTTGCTAATCAAGTATACCTCTGCTATAGCCCGGGATGTGTTGAATATTTATTAATAACTTATTAAGAAAATGACCAAACCTAGGGCTGCAAGGCTGCAATGGGTTAGGCTGTGCTTCAATGGAGACATGGAGTAGACAGGAATGAAAGAGTTCCTTATTGGGCTTTATCAGATTTTCTATCTTCTCATGACATCTCATATATCCATTGGCAAATGACATTTAGGCATTTTACCTGAGTTCATTGCATGGAGACATTGAGAAATGCATGTTAAGATAGGGGATATCTTTGTCATCTGATAATGGATAATCTAGTTAGGAAAGTGTAGACCCATCTGGCCCTATTACAATTGGGACTCCAAATTCAGATCCAGAACCAACCCATTGGAGGCTTAACTTCATCCAAGGTTGGATATACCCACCGACTATGGTTAAACAGTAAGAACTGATTCTCTCTCCATGGTCTCTACGGGTATATGGATAGGTTGGGACTTGATATCCACTTTCGCTTCATGAAAACACAGTTGGTCGGAGTCATGAAGAAACAACTATATCCTTCTTGGAAAATCAGGGCAACCAGCAATAGATATGAATAAATTGAATATGATGTATTAGTGTATCAAATTGTTTCATCTTTCAACATCATTGAATTCAAAGGGAATAAGAAATTCTTTGATAGTGATGACTAGAAGAGGATGGATGACCATGAATACTCTTTGACTTCAGATAACCAAGTGCACTTAAATGCTTTGCTACCCATTTCGTATGTTCAATGCTTGATTCAATCACTCCACAGTGCTGATGATGGCTTAAAGAACTTGAAGCAGAAAAAATGCACTAGGTCGATGATGAATTCAGGCATGGTTGATATTAGAGTTGATAATCAGGACTCGCAAAATGCACGTAGAGTTTTGTCTAGGGAATTTCTATCATAATCCCCAGTAAAAACACAGTTACCAAGAGGACCTTTCAGAAGGATGAGTCTTAGCAGACCATCAGCCACCTTCTTATCAACCTACACTCACAAAAATAACAAAAGCATTAAAAATGGGATCCAAACAAGTTAGTCAATAACAGATATTACTTTCTCCATTATCTATTACCGCCATGTAAGACTTGAACATCTCTACAGTCATAACTTCAGGTGGGGCAATGGGTAGTTTGGCCTGTTGCAAGATATTGTACACTCGCTTCACAATAGATTCGTCAATCCAGCCAAGGCGGTATGACATGTCCACAGCCATTGCCTGTCAATGCAAATATTGTTTTCATTCAGTATAAAGTAAAGCAAAAGTTAATAAAGACTTCGATTTTAATTTCAGATGTAAAGCAGAGTATGCAATACCGTGCCAGCTGCAACAGCTTCTCCATGCAGCCATTGACCATAACCAAATCCAGTTTCTATTGCCTGAAAAGAAAATACATGTTAAATTCAGAAAGAAAGTTGAAGGGAGGATTCTTTGGCAAGGATAGAAACTAACAAACTGAAAAATTTTAACTAGTACAGCAATATACTTAATGATCAACCAACTCAAGGGGCTATATTTATTAATTGCTCTCTTCCTGCCAGCCATATATAGGTAAATGAGAAAAGTGCAGTGTGGTTGAATGCTGCAGAGTCTGAAGCCTGCAGTGATGGATTTCCTAACAGTTGATAGGCTGATTATGAATACAAGGTCTATCAAATTTAGGGGCCTCAGTGCACAAACCATGTAGATAGTGTTCTCGGCTTCCCAAACTTCACATTATGTGCTGCACATATAGCCCTTGACCTTTTCCCTTTTTTTTCCCAAAATATAAATAAACAAGTCTGAGGCTCTTTCAACCACATGAGAAGGGGAAGGTTATGCTAAAAGAAACCATATGTAAATATCTGATTCAGTCAAATAATTTTGCCCATTTCCAGCTCCTGTAGGGAAAAAATCAAGCAAACATAAGTAAGATTGCAAGCCTGTTTTAAATGAACAGAACCTCAATCCATGAAAGCATATAAAAGAAGAGTAATTAAAGTGTTAGCTAGGAGTTGACTAAGCAATTGCCTAGGCATTTTGGAGGCTTATCGTCTAGGTAACCTATTAGGCAGGCACTATAAATATAAACATATTAGTTGGGGTAAATAACTATGCCCCCTTTATAAGTGGGTATCACCCATTTTGAGTTGAATGGAGTGCAGGTAGAGCTAAAAATTAGGGCTCTTAGTCCCTGTGTGTTTTTGTTGTGTGTGTGTGTGTGTTTCCCACCGAACTTGGGAGGTTATTGAAAAATCTAGTCATTATTTCTGAAAATCATGTGTAAGTTGTCATTTCATTATTTACCATTTACCAATTTAATTTGTGGTTTACTAGTTTATGATTAACATGAAACTCTATAATTTTCGTGCATGGTTATTTCTGTGCATATATGTATGTATTTATTTGTTCATTTTTTGTTGCCTTGCCTAGCCACCTTAATGAGAAAGAATATGATACGTGCATGTTTCAATGCAAAATATGATTTAAATTATAATGGTCTCTAAAGGCGTTGTTTTAGTTATATATGTACCTCAGTCACCACTATTTGGAGTTGTAAGAAGGAATTCGCAGGATGTCTCTAACTGGATTGACTCTCCTCAGGTTATTAGAGTTGACTACTGTTAAAGTGAGCCAAATAGGGGTAGTTTAGTCATCTTATGTGTTAAGTAGTTTGCTTATGTGGCAGTTTTATTAGAGTACTCTGCCCCACACTTAAGTATGGGCAATTTAGTCTTTGTAAAGGTTATTAGAATCTAATAAAGATTAAGGGGGTCGACTGTATGGGAAGACCATCAGATTTCGACAAACCCTTATTTTCTTTCTTCTTCTTCTCTTCTTCTTCCTCCTCTTCCTGGTTCGAGTTACTGTAGCAGCATTC